ATGGCACCAGCGGAGTTGAAAGAATTGAAGGAGCAGCTTCAGGAACTCCTAGATAAGGGGTTCATTCGGCCTAGTGTGTCACCTTGGGGTGCGCCAGTTCTGTTTGTGAAGAAGAAGGATGGCACAATGAGAATGTGCATCGATTATAGGCAATTCAACAAGGTAACAATTAAGAACAAGTATCCCCTGCCTCGCATCGATGATTTGTTTGACCAGCTTCAGGGAGCGAGGGTGTTTTCAAAGATTGATCTCCGTTCGGGCTATCACCAGTTGAAGATCAGGGATTCAGATATTCTTAAGACTGCTTTCAGGACTAGATATGGTCACTATGAGTTTCTTGTCATGTCTTCGGGCTGACCGATGCCCCAGCAGCATTCATGCATTTGATGAACAGTGTATTTCGGCTTTGATAAGAGGCTGAATTTAGGTAATTTAGCAATTATTTATGCTCCCGTTTGATTATGTTCCGATGTTATAATATGGTTAATTGATTAAAATGGGCTCTAATTGTGAATCATATACATTGCAGGATGAGGAGCCTATGTGATGCCTTAAAGAGGTGATTGGAACTACTTTAGAGCAAAAATGAACCCTCAGAGCTAAGGACGCACGAAGACGAGGAGAAAAATCAAGGAAGTAAAATGCTGGGCTAGCGCGCCCAGGTGTGCGCCCGCGCATATTGTAGCGCGTCCAAAACAGAAGGTTGGCTTACTAGCGCGGTCAAATGCGCGCCCATATGCGCGACCGCGCTAGTCCAAATTCCGTAAATTGTTTACCAGGGGTGTAATTGGAAATCTGGAGGAAACCCCACTTAACCTATATAAAGTCAAGCTCGCCCAAGGTTAATTTATCAAGTTTTTCATAGTCTAGAGGGAAAAATAGAGAGGCAAGAGGCAAGGAGGAGATTTAACCATCAGTTTCTTCTTTTCTTCTCGTTGTTTTTGCTAATTGTGATGAATTTGAACCCTATTGTGATGAACATGAGTATGAGTGGCTAAACACCCATTGTTCTGGGGTTGTGATTTAGCCATGAATATTGTTGTTTGATATTATCTTGACCTTGATTATAATTCACCACTATATGGTTGTTTCTTCAATTCTGTATTTAATTGCTTAATTGTCTGGCCAACAGTTAGGTTCTATTTACTATCTATGCTATGCTTGGGAAAGCCATGCTTAGACTAGAGAAGAATTGAAGAAAGCATGATCTTAACCCTTAGGGGGAGCGGATTTGTGGTTAGTATAAGAATATACCTAGTCACCGTGCTTAATTAAATATCGTAATCTTAATGCGTTCTTAATAGGTTGATTCCACAGGAATATAGGCATTAATCTATTGAGAATAGGTGAGTAGTACTTCGGGAGAAGGCTATGAGAGCATTTATCGATTAATTAGCAATCATGGGTGAATTATATGAAAGGGAGAGTTAATTAGAACACAATACGAATGGTGAATAGATCACAACCCTGGAATACTTGTCTCTACTGAATACACAGCAATCAATTCGTTACTTGATAATTTAGTTTTACTTAGAATCATAGTATAATATAATCATATAATTGGATTTTGATTTTTGCTAGATTGAATAGCAATTTGAGTAATTCCGTGAGTAGTTTACACAAGTCTCTGTGGGTTCGACTCTCAACTTATCATTATATTACTTGTCGACCACGTATACTTGCGTGTGCGTTTGGCCGCAACAAGTTTTTGGCACCGTTGCCGGGGACTTGAATATTAGCTACTTGCTAGGTTTTGCATTAATTGCTTATTTTGTCTAGTCTAACGTTACTTGATTGTTGCTCAGATCTCAGGAACTTTGATTGAATGCGTAGGGTCAGAAGCCAGGACCGACTTCAAGGCTTTGATCCTGAACCTGAGAGAACATTTCACAGGAGGTTGAGGGAAGCAAGGGACACGAATAATATTCAGCCACTTGTTCAATTTCCTATGGACATGGCAGAGGAGAAACCCATGGCTGTTCAGGAGGTAGCAATGCCCAGCATTGCTAATGTCACCTCCAGTATCGTGAAGCCCAGGATCACCAGGCACTTTAAGCTGAAACAGAGTATGATCCAGCTGCTTCATGCAAACGGGCAATTTATGGGTCTTCCACATGAGGATCCGCAGCAGCATATTCTGAACTTCTTGGAGATTAGTGATACTAATATCACTAACGGGGTCACTCCAGATTATGTGAGACTCGCACTTTTTCCATTCTCTCTGTTGGGTGAGGCTAAGCGATGGCTAAAGGTAGAACCAGCTAACTCCATTACATCATGGAATGATTTGGCAAGAAAATTTCTGGCAAGGTTCTTTCCTTCAGGCAAAACTGCAAAGATCAGAAGTGAAATAGTGGCCTTCAAACAGAAAACAGGTGAATCGTTGTACTCAACTTGGGAAAGGTTCAAGGGGCTACTCAGAGACTGTCCTCATCACAATCAGACGAATGAAGTGTTAGCTCACACTTTCATAGAAGGGCTACATTCTGAAACTAAGATCGTGGTAGATGCTGCAGCTGGGGGTCAAGTGTTGGAGAAAAGCTTTGACGAGATATATGCTTTGTTGAACAAATTTTCCAAGAGCAATCCGGATTGGCAAGGAGAGATGGGCAGACACACAGTGCAAAAATCTGCAGGGGTTCTTGAGTTAGATGTTGTCTCAGCATTATCAGCGCAGATTGCTACACTGGCCAATCAAGTCAACCAGATGAACTTGAGTATAAACAAGCAACAAGCACAACCGGTACAACAGGGTCAAGTTTTTTGTGAAATATGTGGAGAGGGTCACACGAGCGACATATGCCCCGCGAATCCAGAGTCTGTCTGCTTTGTGGGTAATTCAGGTAGGGGCCACACAAACCAATATGGGAACACTTACCATCCCAACTAGAGGAACCACCCAAACTTCTCTTGGGGTGGAAATCAGGGCACTCAGAATCAATACAGGCCTCAAGCACCTCAACAGCAATATAGACTACCTCAGGTTGAAAAACAAGCGAGTCCTACAGGTCACCTTGAAGACATGTTTAAAAAGATGATGGCTGAACAGCAAGCCCTCGCCACAACAGTAAGAAATTTGGAGCGTCAAATGGGACAGCTGGCTAGTGCTCAAAACACCAGACCGGCTGGAGCTCTTCCAAGTGACACTGAAGCAAATCCTAGGGCGACCTTTAATGCCGTGTCGTTGAGGAATGGAAGACAACTGGAAGAAGTTCAACCTAAAAAGAGGAAACATGTGACTTTTAATGAGAGGCCAGCCATTGTAGAATCAGCATCAGAGTTAGCCAAGGAACCAGTGAAGCCATCTGGAGGGGCGGTGGCTGAGTAATCCCCACAATTGGTTGCAAGGCCACCACCTCCTTTCCCTCAAAGACTGCAGAAATTACGAGACAATGCTACATATAAAAAGTTTCTTGATATCTTGAAGCAGGTGCAAATTAATATTCCATTGGTTGACATCTTACAAGAAGTACCCAAATATGCAAAGTACATCAAGGACATTGTGGCGAATAAAAGGAGGCTGACCGAGTTCGAGACTGTGGCACTCACTGAGGAGTGCAGTTCCAGAATTCAAGGCAAGTTACCTCAAAAATTGAAGGATCCAGGTAGCTTCACTATCCAAATCACGATTGGTAAACATGCTGTTGGGAGAGCTCTATGTGACCTTGGAGTAAGCATAAATTTGATGCCGCTATCTATATTCAGACAGTTGGGGTTGGGTGAACCACGCCCAACAACAGTTATCTTACAGTTAGCTGACCGCTCCCTTGCTCATCCTGAGGGAGTCATTGAAGATGTGCTAGAGCAAGTGGGGTCTTTTATCTTCCCAGCTGATTTCATCATCCTGGATTATGAGCCTGATCAGGAAGTCCCATTTATTTTGGGGCGTCCATTCTTAGCCACGGGCCGAGCTATTATTGATGTTTGTGAAGGAA